GGAAAAAACTCCCGTCCGCAATCCCAAGATAATAGTGACTCGGTCTCAATATGTGCAACGTACAGAATCCTTATGTGCAGGGGCTGATGTGCCTATGTGTAATTACAATCTTTAATCCCAAGAAAACAAAAACAAAAACAAAACAAAACAAAACAAAACAAGCAACCAGACAGAGCCAACACCAGTAGTGGGGGGGCCTATTGAGCACACTTTGACCTAAAAGAGAAAAGGTCATTCATATGCATAAGTATAATAATAATATGATATTGATATGAATAGGAATGAGGTGTAGGGTGAAAAATTCTGGCACAAATTGACCTTCGGTAAGGGATAGGCATAGGATAAGGTCACAAAGTTTGGTACATGTCGACTTTGGCGTATGGGATAAAAAATATAGGAATAAGGCATTGGGTAAAAATGTTTGGTACAATTTGACCTTACTTATGAAATTATGGCACAACGTGATAAAAGAGGATGAGTCCTACAGTCTGCGATGGTATACTGACCGGCCCACTAGGCACTCCTAAGGTAATCAAGGAGTAGGAAGCGATAATCCCTACACAATAGACAGCTGGTTAATGAGAGGGATAATCCCTAGACAATGGACTGTATGCCGTGACTCAGCTGTCTAGGCAGACTATTGTGTTAATGATTACATTGTGTACGTTGGAAGTGAGCGTTGGTCTGACTTAAACTTTGGACACTAAGGAAGAGAGGGCGCCCACATGCTAGCGGTCTTGGGATTGGCTTACTATGGCTACCGAGATTTGATCGATACGGAAAGAAGGCTCTGTAGTCCCTAGCTGAAGCAAAATAAAAATCTCGTTCGTAATCTCTTTGGACTGTGAAGGTTTGGCATTTACTTCCCCCCCTGCTATAGAAAGACCAATTTAAACAATAAAAATAGCATTATTTATACAATGAAAAGAGCAATAAAAGAACAATTAGAGCAATAAACGGAGCAATTTGAACAATAAAAACAGCAATTTATACAATAAAAAGACAACCTATACAATAAAAAGACCAATTGAAAAAGATGAAGTTTATTTTGAACAATAAAAATAAAAGATCCGTTCGAGCAATGAAAAGAATATATTTTAACAATGAAAAGATCAATTTACACCACAAAAAATCAATTTGAACAATAAAAAGAACAATTTGAACAATGAAAAGAGTAAAAGAGTAATAAAACGAGTAAAAGAGCAATACATAGAGCAGTTTGATATATGGAACACTTTCACTTGTTTCGTGTCATTTAAAGGTCATCCTTCGCAGAGTCAACATGAATGGTATTTATACAGCCAAGCCCTACGCTTGTCACCAGTGTGACAAATGCTTCGGACGGAAGTTTAATCTAGATAGGCACTTGGAAAATATCCATGTTGAGGAGGAATCACACATGAATGAAGCTGACGAAAACTCAGATTCTGTTGAGGACGTCGACGACGAAACCTCGGATGAAGACAATTCAGATTTGGAAGACAATGCCGCCTACCAAGATTGGCTGGCTGAAGCTAGAGAAACACATAGGGAGATGAGGGATGAAAAATATGACGAGTACGTCAACGAAGGCATGGATGAAGATCAAGCCAGGCAGAAGGCAAACAGAAAGACCCTCTGGGCAGTCAAGCAAGACTTTTTCGACAACTATAAGGAGTTCCTGTCAAGTTTCCTATATTTGAGGGAAAATGAAACTCACAAGGACATTGTGGAAGATCTCGATGGAAAACTTGATAAAGGCCTGAACGTCAACAAAGCCTTGAATAGAGTTTTGCCTAAACATGCTGAAAAATTTGCCGGACTGTTTCATGACGAAGAGGAGCATGCCTAGAAGATAACAGTCTGTAGAGAAAAATGGTTCCAAAAAATAATGACTACATGTAATAACTCTGATTTCAAAGTTAACAAACTTCCGGTAATCACCCTTGTGGTAATTCTTAAAATTACTAAGATAATTATTGTAAAAAATCAATGATGAACAACGGGAAATAAAACGGTACCAGTACAAACCTACCAGAAACCAATATGTGAAGTCCACTGATTTTGTTTTGTGCTATACTTATCGGTATGACTATCGAATAATAATTCTCAGATCAGATATTGGCCGGAACTTCTACACAATATTCCACAGCACGACGAATAAATTTACCCCTTTGCTACGTGTTAAAAATCTCCATCTGACGTCATGCCACCCCCAAAATTCTTAATTTTATATAATTTAGGTTCCGCAATAAAGAACAAGAGTAACGCTCCGCTCTGACTGAATTTGTGAAACGTATACATGTACACACTAACGGGACGTAAAACACTCTAGTTCAAAGGATTAACAGAGGGGACAACAGAGTATTCTTCCCATATCGATCAAATCTCGGCGCCCTCTCTCCCTTAGTGTCCAGATGTTAACGTTAAGTCAGACCAACGCACACTTCCAACGTAAACAATGTAATCATTAACACAATAGTCTGCCGACACAGCTCAGCCACTACAACAGTCCACTATCTAGGGATTATCCCTCTCATTAACCGGTGGCACGAGCTGTCTATTGTGTAGGGATTATCGCTTCCTACTCCTTGATTACCTTAGGATTGCCTGGTGGGCCAGTCAGTATACCATCACACACTGTATGACTCATCCTCTTTCATCATGTTGTGCCATAATTTCATAAGCAAGGTCAAATTGTACCAAACATTTTTACACCGTGCTAGGCCTTATTCCTATTTTATCCCATACACCAGGGTCAACCTGTACCAAACCTTCTGACCTTATCCTATGCCTATCCCTTACTAAAGGTCATTCTGTACTGTAATGTTTCACCCTACACCTCATTCCTATTCATATTAATATCATATTATTTTTATACTTATGCATATTAATGTGAATTTTTGCCATTTTTGTCGCAAAGGTCAAACTGTACCAAACAGTCCCCCCACTACTAACATTTGCCGGATGTAAGGAAGGTGTTTGGAAAAATCAATGAGTATTGTTTTCATAAAGACTGCAGTTGATTCCCGGATGACTTATATTCTGACGTAGGCCTACGACAGGCAATACATTGCTTGACTGAAATCATACGGATGTTGTTTACGGATAAAACTTGAGGTTAATTGGGTGCACTTGAATGTGTTCCAAACCCAGCGTGCCATTTGCATAATAAGTGACCGTCTTGTGCCTTGTTTAGTTTGTTCCATCATATGAAAAGAGTTTAAAGGACGATCAGCGTCCCATATGCTAGATTAGACATGCCATTTAATCTTCATTTGGTAACTGTGGAAAGCTTGATAAGTGAGACTGGATTGTATGCTCCATAGTTCCAGACGGGTTAGCACTGGATGTTGTAGCAAGGATGATGTATTGGACAGATGATGACCTTAGACACGTCGCACGTGCTCCTATGGACGGCAATGGCACCACGGAGATCATCCTTGAACGTCTAGATCACCCAAGAGCCATTATAGTTGACCATGACAATGGGTGAGTCAACAGAAATTCCAGTGTGTTTGTCAAGTGTCCGTTTCAGAATTGTCTTGAGTTGATCACTATGGGGAAGACCCAACCGAAGGGTAGTTCCAAAGACTTTCGGGAAAAGTTTATAGAGAGAAACATTATCCTCAATTGCTAATAAACACTATTCTTGCTCAAGAAGCATCTTGTGTTTTAACTTCAGACACATCTACTGGACAGACTGGGGACAGATTGCCAAAGTCGAGAGAGCGGACTTAAACGGCGAAAACAGGACTGTGATAATTGATACAGACCTCTTTTGGCCGAATGGTATTGCAAAAGACGGTAGGTCTCTCGGTTGAAGCTTCAATATATGTTGTCCATAAAAAAGTCTACTGAAACAACATTCGAAACAAAGGGCATATATGCATAACATTCGCCGACTGCCAGTGCATTGCTATGACAGATGTTTGTGCAACAGTCCGTTACTTATCTGTTTCGTTGTGTGAAGGAAATTGAAGTAGGCTAATGCAAACAAAAAAAAAAGGTTCGCAAATACTTATAGAAGCATTATTTTGCAACCACCATTTAGAGTATTTGTTTCCACAGACAACTATTTGTACTGGTGTGATGCTTATCTTGACAAAGTCGAGCGTAGCGACCTCCTTGGCAATAACAGGACGCTCATCATAGACCTGTCTAGTCTTTACCGACCCATTCATCCGTTTGACGTGGCCGTCTACGACGAGTATGTGTTCTTGACCGATTGGGCCGACTCGGTAATTCGTCGTGTCTCTTCCAACGGCACCTCTGAGTTTTTTGGCCCGGCACTCTTTGCTCAGGCTGGAGGCATTCATATTTACAGAGGTTAGACTCTATACAGATATTGGTATGATTCTGCACGATATGAGGTGACTGTTGGTATGTCTTTGTGTTTCAACCATTCTTTCTTTGTTTTATGTTTCTTTTGATTTGACTTTGTGTTCCCGAAGAACCTAGCTACTGCAATAGTTCTCTCTGCAATTCCAATGGAACTTGCGTGGATGTCATCGGCGGATTTTCTTGTGATTGCCAAACAGGTTACGACGGCCCAACCTGTGAATATGGTAAAGAGAAAGAAACAAGTTTACAAGATATGATTTGTAGGTGATCATTATCATTTCAAAACAAAAAAGCCTTTGTTGAATACTCTTTTATTTCAATTAGTTTGTTCGAAATTCTTATTTTAATCCATGTAGTCCTACAAATTGTTAGATGACAAAAACACTTTGTTGAAAGTAAAACATCGCTGACAAGCTATACGCTTTTGTCGAGGCTATTATAACATTACCTTCTGCGGGGGAGATGAGGATGGTTTAAAATGTTTTAAAATTGTCAAAATTCACATCATCCGAGTCACTGTCCATGTAGTTGTACCTATATGGATAGTGGTAGGGATGAGGGATGACAGGTAATTTTGTTTTCGGTTCATCCTTGAATATTGTCCACCAATTAATCATTGTGTGCGTTAATGTTTGAATCACACTGAGAACCCCATGGTTCAGGAGCAGCTCTTGTGTAACAAATCTTAATTAAGCCCTTCTTTCTTTATGAATGATTGCAGCCGGCCTTCGTCTGATCGGAAACACAACCCGTAGCGAGGGACGACTAGAGATTTTCCTGAACGGTGAATGGGGTACGGTGTGTAACACCTCATGGGGACTGGCAGACGCCCACGTGGCGTGCAGGCAGCTGGGCTTCCCGGCAGGTGCCATCAAGGTTACAAGTGGCTCGATGTATGGTGGTGGCGTGGGTCCGATTCATTTGGACAATTTCGGCTGCACGGGTCAGGAAAACTTCTTGGAAGCTTGCCCTCACGCCAGCACTGGGGTTCATGACTGTACCCATAGTGCGGATGTAGGCGTCTTATGTTCACCTTCGGGTAGGCCTATGCTTGTATATTTGCTGAGTGTAGCTTTCTTTAGAATGTTTATTCTTTCCACTTGCGTAAATCTGTGCCGGACATAGAGAGGGGAATGAGAGATGGGGAAAAGTTCATGATATAGGTTTACCCAGCCAATTTCAGTAAAACTCCGCCCATGTTCGTCAATACGCATCCATTTTTCGCACAGGCGCTGCGGTTTTGTTTGTGCTGGGGTTTCTTTGTCGATTTTCTGATATTCAAATTTGTTTTCGAGCACACATTTTTTGGCCTTACAGTTCAGTTTCGTTTCCATCATTCCACTTCATTTATGGGCATTCAAAAATACACCACCACCATTTTTTCAGCGTAATCGCTGCCACCTTTTTCCAAAACCTATCAACGCGAATAGGATAGTTAACCTGCCCATGATTTTCTCTTTCATTTAAAGTAGACCTTTTTCATGTTCTGAGTGTTTCATTGAAGAGTACTAGGAAAGTTATTGCCATTGGTCTTCTATTGCAAGTTGCTGTGAATGATACTTTTGTCCCGTAATTATGTTTGGATGATTTTGAATCATTCGTTTGTATCCTTTAGTTTGTGTTTGTATCTGCGCCTAATTTTGTGTGTGTACTGATACAGTTTTTTTTTTATGTTTCCTATTCAATTATTGGGACCATTTCAAAATGTACAAATGAGGTTTACAAAAGCTCAGGCGAAAAATCTAGGATTAACCTTAAAATACAAAGAGAAAAAAACCTTGTTTACAAGCTTTTCTCTGCGTTATTGCCCAGAAAGCATTTATGAGCTTTCCCTATCTACGAACCTCACTTTTTGGAAGAACCCGACTGACGGAATTTTTGCACTAAGTCATGTTGACAAAAAACCACGAGTCACTGTTAAAAAACCTTTTTTTCTTGGAAATCAGATTTTATATATCTCGAAAACCCTTATTACTGGAATCACCCCAAAAACCGGGGTGATTATACCCCCACCCCCTGGGATTTAAGCCCATGGTTATTCTAAGTTTTATTCTACTGAGTTTGTTCATGTTTCGAGTTTATTGATTTCAGAAATATCAAAGTGTTATACAAGGATGTTGTCATGAAACATCCATGAATTGCAGGACGTTGCTGACTATTCACACGTGGAGCTATTATACAGAATAAAGATGGATAGGTATCCCCGGGGAAAAGTTTTGCTTTTCACTGCTGAGAGAAACTTAACTTAAATTTTTGTGTGTGTCCCTTCAATAACGAAAGGCTACGAATTTATTGGAAGCATGAGTAAATTTTTATTTTGCACTGCTGACGCGGCGTCATACATGCCTACTCGACCACAAGTCCATACCACATATATACACTTGGAGCAAAAATCTTTCCCACGTGGCGGCTATAACTGTGCACGTCCGAAGCACTTTCTAAATCGACATAAATTATGTGGTAGATATCCAAATTGATAAGAAATATGAGGAAAATGTGATGTAAAATACGATTCGGCCTGACTTTTTTTTTAAAAAAGATTTGTTGCCGACGTCGCAAAAAAAAGGTCAACGTGGGGTAGCAACAGGGGGAACGTTTCCCCCAAAGAAACAAAGTTTGTAATTTGGAAAATAAGGGGAAATTTGGTTTTTTCATATTCATTCCATCCAGAAGCGTGGAAAAAGACCCGATATGTAGCTTTAACAAGGAGAAAGACCACAAAAGTATACATGAACAAATTCCTCAATTAAGGGACTCACCAAAGAATAAACAAGTAAGTAAGTAAATAAATAGCTTGTTCCTCGAAAATCAACCAGGACCCCCTGTTTTCAATTTGACATTTGCAGTTCGTTTAGTGAACGGTTCAAGACCCAACGAAGGTCGTGTGGAGGTCTTCTGGAATGACACCTGGGGAACAGTATGCGACGACGGATGGGGTGTCGATGAGGCTACCGTCGTCTGCCGAGAGCTAGGGTTCGCCGGAGCTCGAGCAGAAGCCTTTCCGCGCGCTTTATTCGGAGAGGGACAAGGGCTGCAGATAGTGCTGGATGATGTGAGGTGTGTGGGTGATGAGGATACATTATTTCAGTGCCAACACAGAGTTCCAGGCAGTCACAACTGTCTCCACTACGAAGATGCTGGAGTTCGTTGTGGTAGGTTTCTGAGTACAATATCTCCTTTCGCTGAAAGGGTGAAAAACTCTGGCAATGTTCCCAACACGGAAGAATTGCTAAGCTCTTTAAGGCTGTAAATAAAGACAGTCCAGCTCTGAGACAGTTTTCGGTAAATACAATTTACAGATTGACGATCCAACCTTTGGCCATCAGTTAAGCCGTTCACCCATAGCTACTTGCATTTAATAGTCCTAATCACGCCACAAATACGCCACAACGAAGTATATTGACTTTAATATTGGGTACCGGTCAGATTTAGTTTAAAAGAATAAATAATCATCTCTTTGGAAAATCGACATTGGAAACCATTTTACAATAGCATGAACGTTTTATCATTTTCCAATCCTTTAGCCGAACTCCGTCTTGTTGGCGGCAGAACGCGTAACGAAGGCCGGCTTGAGATCCTCACAAACGGCGTATGGGGAACAGTTTGTGACGACTCATGGGGACTACAGGACGCCCGAGTGGCTTGCAGACAGCTCGGCTTCCCCAATGCCATCAGCGCTACTCAAGGAGGAACTTTCAGAAGTGGAGGTGGACCCATTCACATCGGCAATGTCACGTGCTCTGGTCAGGAAAGCAGCCTTCAAATTTGCCCAGTTGACATTCGTCCAACTCAGTGCACTCACAGTGAGGATGCAGGAGTTGTGTGCAGTCCTTCAGGTAAGTTCCTTCGCCTTGAAGCATTACATTGTTACGTGGCGAGTTTAATCATGAAAATGATAGGAAAAATATCACAGTTCTCACTTTTAATCATTATCATTGCAAAAATAGACTCCACCTTGCTTAATAATTGTTGTCATGAAATGCAAACAGAAGTGTAATGTAGCCATTAAAGTAAGTGATGGAGGTGGAGATAAACGTAATTCTTTTTCCCCAAAGTGCGGTTGGTGAACGGAGGGAGCGCTAGTGAGGGTCGCGTGGAAATATTTTTCCGTGATACCTGGGGAACCGTTTGTGATGACCTCTGGGATACTCGAGACGCTTCTGTTGTCTGCAGGGAGCTTGGTTTTTCCAGAGCATTGAGTGTGGGCTACTATGGTTCTGGCTTTGGGCTGCAGATTTTGCTCGACAATGTCGCTTGCAGTGGCGACGAGGCAACGCTGTTTGACTGCAGTCATCCCGGCCCTGGCAATCACAACTGCGCACACTTTGAAGATGCCGGACTCCAATGTGGTATGTTGCCTGCAGACAGGATAACATCGCAATAAGTCTGTTGTTATTCCTTTATTTGTCATTTGTTTCCTGCCCAATTTCCGCTCATTTTCGTCAGCACACACTCACATTCGCATAGATTTCGTTTCTAGTTTCTTTTTCCCTTTTCTGACATTCAATTCGTTTTCATGCACACAGTTTTTTTTAGGTTTGCCGTTCATTTTTGTTTCCATCATTCCGATTTATTTACGTGCATTTAAAACTACACTCTCACCCTTCTGCAGTTTAATCTCTGCAGCCTTTTTTCAATAAGTACAGTCATCTTAAACTCATCGACGCGTATAGGATTTTTTTTGCCTGATTGCCTTTTTGGTTTACAATAAATCTATTTCGCGTTCAAATTTAGGAGTACTCGAGAAGTTCATGCCTCGGTCTTCTGCTGCAAACCGTATAACATTCCTGTTTCATAATCATTTTTTATGATTGTGACTGATTCCTTTATATCCTTTATTGTTTTGTTTGTATCAACGCCTTTTTCTTGAATCCAATCAGAAAGTTTATTTTTGTTGTATGTAGTGATGCTGTTTGTGTTGTGTTTCTTATCTGAGTATTCAGACCATTTTAAAATGTACATCCAAAAGTTAATGAAATCTCAGGAACACAAATTCAGCGAAAGCGTTGAAGCATAAACAAATATAAAATAAAATAAATCGTTCACAGACCTTTTTTCTGTGTTACTTCCCTGGGAATTCGAAAACTTGAATTTCCACAAACAAGATTGGAAATTGACTAAAACAAATACTCGATCAACCTCTTTCTACGCCTTTTGACGAACGTAAATGAACGAACCGACTTTTGAAATTCGAATGAACGTGTTCCCAAAAGAATGCTCAATAACGAAATCAAAATGCCTGCTTTTGGTTTTCGATTTCTTGTGTGAAGGATCATTCTTTTTAAAACGAAATTAAATGGGCCCTGTTAATAAATGCGACTTTTTTGTGAAATTGGCTTGGAAATCCTATATTTTTACGAATTCAAACTTTTTGCTCTTTATCCGTTTGTATTGGTGTTTGGTTTGCTTTAGACGCCTGCAGCCACGACTTTTGTACAAATGGAGGAACGTGTAACACCCTACCAGGCGGAATCTTTTGTCATTGTCCAGCAGGCTTTGATGGCCCGAGTTGCGAATTCGGTAAAACCCAATTACTGCTTTTTAATCACCTGTTATGAATAATATTTCTCTTCGAACGAATTCGCAATAACAAAAATCTCATACTAGTAGCTGCAAAACAAATCCGGCTAGGATGGATTTCTTAGCGGAATGTATTTTCTCTCTGTTTCCTATAAGAAACAATATTAACAGTGCCCACAAAGGAGAAATACCTCAAAATATATCTAGATAAACCAAACCATGCTATCTTCATAAATATGGGCGAGCGTGCTGATATTTCCAATGACTTTCAAAACTCAAGACAAACATTATGATATATAACTTTTAAATATTTAAAGGGGTATTACTTGTCTTTGAGAAACCTAATACAAATTTAGACTAGCAAGTAATCTTTCAAGTTATGCTTTTTTGTCACTGAATTTATTCAATATAATTTTGTAGCTGGTCTACGTTTAGTTGGAGGGAACTTGCGAAGCGAGGGCAGGCTGGAGGTCCTCCTGAGCGGGGAGTGGGGCACGGTTTGTGATCGCTCGTGGGGGCTGGAAGAGGCCCAGGTGGCATGCAGGCAGCTGGGCTTCCCTTGGGCTGTTGAGGCTACCTTGGGAGGATCTTTTGCCGGTGGAACAGGCCCTGTCCATCTGCAAGGTGTGATGTGCAATGGTCAGGAGAGTAATCTTTTGAACTGTTCGCATAGCGGTATCGGAGTCCACAACTGCACTCATGCTGAGGACGCTGGTGTCGTGTGTAATCCCAGAGGTAATGGCCTTTTCTACAATTTGGTGATGGAGGCGTTATGTAAATATTGATAATGATGGAAGACGGATACTTTCCCTGAACCACACGGTAATGAAATTCTAAGACAGGGCTTATCCATCAGCGAGGAAAAGAAATTGAAATTAAAAATCAATCAATCAGGAGCTGTGGGTTTGCGGTTCTTCTCAGAACCACACATCTTCTAAAGAGATCCATGGTGTAACCACAAACCCACAGCTCGTGTAACTTCCACCATCTTACAAATCTTACTAAGCAATTAGGTCTTGACTGAGTTAAAAAGATTATTTATTTGTTTGTTTATTTTCCAATGGAGAGTCACCAGTGATCGCTCTTTGTGATAAAAAGCTCTACTTTCACACAGTTCGCTTGGTAAACGGTCAAAGTCCCAGCGAGGGTCGCGTGGAGGTGTTTTGGAATAGTGCCTGGTGGACGATCTGCGATGACTATTGGGGCATCAATGACGCCACAGTCATCTGCCGTGAACTAGGCTATTCTCGAGCAGTGCAAGCCCTTCGGTATGCTGAATTTGGCGAAGGAGTTGTTGATACACTTCTTGACGATCTTCATTGTCGGGGTGATGAGGAGACAGTGTTTGATTGCCAGCACAGGGGCCCACAGATACATGACTGTACTCACCGCGAAGATGCTGGGGTCGAGTGCGGTAAGCCGTTCTTTTCTTACCTCTCTAAGAGAAACTTTGACACTTAAGAAACACCTAGCTTCGTCGGCGACAGTGTCGGAAGAGAAGGTGCGTGACGTCATTCCATCAAAACGTTAAGCAAAATAGCCTTCAAAATGTGGAAGATTTCCACATAAAAGTGCCTCTTCCGATATCATCCCTTGAAGTCAAAATGACGCTCCAGTTGATGTATTTTGCTTATGGTTAGTTATTTTATTGACTATTAGGGCGTCATATGTCAGTGATAACGAGAAAATGGAGAAATGAAACTTAAGCTGTCATGCCCGTCACACCAGAGTGTGTGTTTGTATATAGGCTTTCTTTGGCGACTCAACGTAGCGGGTCGAACTACATTTAACTTTACCGACCGGCGTCCCTGTTTGAAAGTCGCAACATAGAAGTTTCATATGACTGCGTGTCGTCAGAAACCGATCAGTAGTGCTCCCTGCGTTTTTTAAGCCGATGTGTAAACCAGGCTAAAAAACCCAGAAAACAAACAGAAAACGAATATGCTCAAAAGCCCAACATCTTTATGTTATTATTCCTAGACTAACCATGTTCGCTTCCTTCTCATTGATATATATCAAACATTTAGTTATACCCTTTCGGCGCGAAAAAAAACTTTGCCTGTCCGTTGTGACACAGTAGTGAATCATTTAATCTGTTGGGAATTTTCAGTAAAAATAATTGAATTATACATGTGACCAAAGATGTTTACTGCAGCAGGTGTTCACCCTTGGCCGTAATACCGCACCGGTTGTCTTAAGGGTTTTTTCCATTTTATATCGTTATTCAGAGAGCGCAAGTCAGATGCCATAGAACCCCATTTACCATATGACCGAGGAGCTTGTGTTTTCTTATCACATGACTATTCGCTTGATCCTGTCTCTTCCTTGAGTTATGTATACTTGTATATGTATTGCAAAATTGTGAAACATACACAAACACCTTACTTCTTCCTAATAATTAAAAAAATGATGACAACTTTAAATAGCACTAACATAGTCTGAACAGGAATCAAACTACTTGTACCAATCTTCATGCATAACCTACCACGCTATGGAAACTCATATGCCAAGAGTTGTTTTTTTTATAGGCCTATTTACTACTTAATGTTACAATGGAGCGGGTATTATGTGTTACGTAGCCTGCATTTATAATTCATGAACTTCAGTGCTCTGCGATATTTGCCAAAAGCAAATTATTCTGAGGTTCAAGAATCTAAAACCAGCACCAGCCAGGGATAACGCCTTAAATGCATGATACAACGAACGGGGACTTCGCAGATTCAAATCCTGCAACATCCACTTCTAGGTTCATCGTTACTATTAATATGTAAGCACCCTTCTGATTCACTGTACAGTTTTTGTGATTATTCGTGTTTAAAAAGCTGTATCTTCTGAGTGATCCCTGTTCACCATTTCCCAAGTTGAAAAGTGTATTCAGGTAGGGATACATGGTGCTTCCATGGACTTTATATTAACAAATCTGTTCCTTCGCTGCCTCTCACATCCAAGTAAAGAATCTCCACATTTTTTCTTTTCTCTAATTGATTTATCTTTTCTCTAATATGATTTCACTAATGCTTCAAGCATTGAATTAAAACTGAGGCTAAACAGAACGTAGATTGGGTAAATGAGAATTTGAGAAAAAGAAAAACACAAAAACAAATAATGAAAATAATACGATATCAATAAAATGTGATCAAAAATGATGAAAAACAGTAACATGGATTGATTAAAAAAAGCAATCAACATAGATTTAAAAAAATGCTGTAATGAAAAAAGTGCTTTGCTTACAAGGAAAATCTGTTCAGAGCGTTTATCATAGTGCTCAACGTTGAAATAATTCAATGTCACAACTCCATTTTCTGTCACGAAGTCAATTTGACCTGTAAATTCAATGACCTGTAAATTCAATAGAAAATCGGCTTTCTTGTGAAAAGGGTGACGTCAAAAAATTGTTCAAGGACTCTTAATGTCCTTACTCGGCATTAAAGCCACCGGGGGC